GATAATGCGGCTGCTTACGGCCGTGGGCAGAAAAGGGGAGATAGGACCATCAAATGTCAATATTTGCAACAGACTAGAGCAGGGGTGGGCAAACTTTTTGACTTGAGGGCCACAATGGGTTCTTAAACTGGACCGGAGGGCCGGAACAAAAGCATGGATGGAGTGTTTGTGTGAACTAATATAAATTCAAAGTAAACATCATTACATAAAAGGGTACGGTCTTTTATTTCAATAGTTTTATTCATTTCAAACGGGCCGGATCCGGCCCGCGGGCCGTAGTTTGCTCACGGCTGGACTAGAGAATACGTCTGGTTTTCCCAAATTTTAATTTTATCCGACAGATTGGCCAAAGACCGTGTCACCTCGTGAGGTTGCATTGCATGTAGCGCATGCCTGCAGCCTGGCATCCTTTGCTAAACCCTGTGGCCGCAGATAGCCTTCCCACGTTTCCTTCTGCTCTTCACCCAGGCTCTCCCAGTCCCAGCCCCAGAGCAATGTCAGCTGCCAGTGAGCTCGTCAGGAGATCCTTCGGAACAGCCTCTCCAGCGGCCAACAGATGGGCCCCGGGAACCACCCAGACTATAGAAAGGCGGAGGACAGAATGGGACAGAGCTGCTCTGACTCCAGAAACCAGCAAAAGAACAGCTTCAGCTAAGGGAATGCAAACCCCAGGAACCCCTGGGGTGGTAGCTGCAGGGACAGTTAGCCAGGTAGAGAGTTCCAGCTGGGCCACCATCCCTATTCCGGAGAGTCCGGCTTCAGCAGTCGGAGGGATGCCCGATACAGTGGAACATGATCGGCTGTGGGGCACCAGGAGCTCAGCAACAAACAGAGCTGGGGCCAGAGAGGAGAGGAGAGAGACAACCACTGAGGCCACTAGGCCAAGAGAGGAAGCAGAAAGGGTCAAAATAGCGCTGGCTACAGACTGGACCATCATGAAGTCCATCAGGCCATCAACACTGGCCTCAGAAAAACTGGTGTGGGAAACCCACCAAGAAGCAAGCTTGGCTTCTACGCCACAAGCCCCGGGCTCCATTGAAGGGACTACTGGAGCTGCAGGTGTGCGGGCCTGGGGGCCCACCAGCACAGAGATGCCATCTGCCGAAGGGAGCACTGAAGGGGACCTAGACATGCCTGCTGGAGGCAGTGGTCCCCAAACAGCACCAAGCCAGGACCTGGCAGCAGGACCCCTAAGGCCCCCAGGCAGGGGGTCCTCCAAGAAGAGGTAAAGCCCCAGGCCCTTCTGTCGGTTGGGGTTCCACACCTGCCCTTTCCTCTGGCGCTCCCCTCAGTGAGCTGACTCTTGTTCCCGTCTCCATCTACTCACTTCTTTCCTTCTGTAACCACAAGACAGTAAAGAGCAAGGGACAGAAAATCACCCATCCTCCCTCATTCGAGGTCCATGCTAGAAGAATCAGTATTTCCATGTGGTTTTCAAGAAAAATCTAAACAATGGAAACTTTGGGACTTTTAAATTTTATTTATTTATTCATTTACTTATTTATTTATTAGTTTTTATTGATTTTTTTAGAAAGAGAGAAAAGGAGGGGGAGAGAGAGGGAGACATTGAGTGAGAGCAGAACATCGATCGGCTGCCTTCTGCACACCCCTTATCAGGGATCAAGGCCGCAGCCCAGGCATGTGGCCTTGACTGGGAATTGAACCAGCAACTTCCCAATGCATGGGACAGAGCCCAACCAACTGAGCCACACATGTTAGGGTGGGACTTTTTTTTAAAGGTGGGAACAAAAGCTCTAGAGAGGAGGTGACTTGCTGAACCCAGAAGGAAAAATTGTGGCAGAGCCAAATGCCAAGTTTGGATTCCCTGACTCTCATCCAATCCTCTTTCCCACTATAGCTCAGTAGAGGGGCCCACACAGGTGGGGGAGTTGGGAAAAGGAGTCAGGGTTGGGGAACCTGAAGACAGGGCTTCCGGTCCCAGTTCTGCTACTAATCTGTCATGGGAATGAGGACAGCCAACTCACCTTGGCCTCAGCTTCTCAACTATAAAATGAGGGTTGAGGGCCAAATGGTCTACAGTCTCCTAGTCAGCTCTAACCTCACATGTCTGGTGCTCTTCTCCTCCCCACCCCTGCTACTTGCACTCCAGTGCTTCTCCAGAAGAGAAAAACATCTCTCGGATGCTGACTCCCGTCTCCACGGTGCTGTGCCCACTTGCGCTTGTGGCTCTTGTTCTATTGCAAAGGAAGCTGCAGAGAAAGAGGACTTGTGAGTTGAGTTTCAGTAGCCCCAAGGCTGGGGAGGAGGGGGCTTGCTCCCATCTGACACCCTCAGGACAGGGTTGGGTGAAAGTTGGTGCCAGGACTTCTAGATGTAGAAATGGTAAGTTCTAGCCTGAGCCATTTAACCATTCTTGGTCTTGGCTTCATATATCTATAATAATAAAAGTGCAATATGCTAATTAGACAGGACGACCTTCCGGATGAAGCGGGGTTACAAAGGGAAGCTCAGGTCCCGGGTGCCAGAGGGAAGCAGGTGCCGGCAGAGGCGGGGAGGGGGGGAAGGAAGGCCTACTCTTGCACGAATTTCATGCATCATGCCATATATATATGTGTGTGTGTGTGATTTATTTATTATTTTATGTGCCTCAGGCATCAAACAGCTCTGGCCACCAACACAGGCATCAAGCTAGGATGAACTAAGAACTGTCCATCTGCTTTGCCCCTGGTTGGCATAAGAGCAACACCACCAATCAGGTGTCTCCTAGCCCATCTCCAGGGGGTTGTTGTTTCAGTGGCATCCCAGAGCTTAAGGAGAAGCTCTTCTGAAGATGGCAAGACCTATGGCAACCATAGGCGTATGAACCATATGAGCACCCCCAGCAGCAGGTAGCAGGAGTGCAGGGCTCAGATGTGGGACCAGACTACATTTGCACCCTTGGCATGGCTCATCTGAAAGTCTCTTACAGCAACAAGCTCAGGTTTAAATATCCCTAAAATGAGTCTAAACTTCGTGGTGTTATATCTGGCGAAGAAAGGGTGAGATTTTTGGGGGAGCGAGTGGAGGAAGCTAAGATTCTCAGACCCAATTGGTGTTAACCTAAGGGGCTCAGGGTGCTCTTGAAAGCTTGTGGTGGATGGGGGTGATTCTTGAGGAATCAAATTCAGTACCCACTGCCCTCACAGTGTCTCTGTCTTTGCAGCTCAGGAGACAGAAAAGGCCCCAGGAGTCACCTTGATTCAGGTGACACATTTGCTGGAGCTGAGCCTCCAGCCAGATCAGCTGCCCCATGTGGAGAGGAAGATACTCCAAGAGGGTTCTTCTCCTGCCTGTGCCACCATGACGGTCCCAGAGAGGGACCCTGGACCCTGAGGAATGGAAGGATAACCAGGACCAAACACCATGACCCCTCTCATCCTTCCTCCTCCGGTACAAAAGGAAGCGAATGGAGCTGGTGCTTTATTGGGGAAGCAAAGGCTGACCATCCTTGGACCTACAAAGTCATAAATTGGCCACAGTCAAAGATGACAGTGTGACTCAAAAAAGGCTTCAAGAAAGGATTTATTAAACACTGGTGGAGATCACCTAGGAAAAATGTGAAATTTCCATTCTTGGAGGTTTCAAAATGTAAGAGGTTTTCAATCAGTGTGAGGAATTACCAATTTTCAACCATCACATCTAGCCCATACCAGTTGCTCTCTTTCCTGACATCTGTTAGCATTCAGCCTACTGCATACATTGAATTATATTCATGTATACTAGCCTTGCTTTCTCAAGGAAATTCGAAGTTCTTTTAGGGTAGCAATTGTGTTTTATCTCACGATGCCCCCAGAGAACTTCCATTCCAGTAGGGACCCCCCCCCATAAATATTTGTGACTGAATGACTGACTGCAAGGGCACAGGCTCAGTGGCCTCTGGGGATCCTACTCATGCAGATGCTCTGACTGACCCTTCATTCAGGAGTGCCCTGGTGGTTTTTACATAGAGACCAAAAGGACAGCCAGTCCTCCAATCATCTCTCCCCATTTGGCCCCATACTCATCATGCTGTAGACCGTTTGACCCAGTCAAGGTTTTCTGGGATTTTCCTAAATTTGTGGAGGAGGAGGGCATCTTTCAGTAGATTCTCGCCTTTTCACAAAGCTTCTCTTGTTCCACTGCTTCTCAACCCTTGATAGCAAGGATGTTGACGGGGCTAGAAAATGGTTGAGGGGGGCGGGGGAAGGAGTAAGAGAGAAAGTGGCCAAATGGAATTTATGTAAATTCTGCTTTTATAACCACTTCATCTCATGCCTCTGGGGGCACTTTTGCTCCATCCGTGGCCCCACTGTCTTTGCAGGAGTTACCTCTGCTTTTTGATTTTGCCGTATCTGTTAACCAGCTACCTGAGCCTCATGTCTGGGCCGAGAAGCCTCTGAGCAATTGAAGAGCAGGGAAAGAAAGACTCTGATAGCGAATGAGGATTGTCAGGTAGACATTCCCAGATGCGTTAGCCCTGCTTCCTAAGCTGTCAGCGGCACCAGAGGCCCTTTATCCATGCCTCCTCATAGCTGAGTCCCAGCCTGGACACCTTCTTAAGAAAATCAAGGAGATGCTGTCTTCCTGGTTTGTGAAAGAGAGAGACCCATTGTTTTTGGATAAGTAGGGAAGTTGTATGCATGTAACCAAAGGGAATCATAGAAATTCCAAGCTAATAGGTCCTTAGAAATTAACCTCTCTAAAACCCTCAGCCTCCTGGGAGCTAATTGAAGCCCTGTGGGGGAAGCGACTTGTTCAAAGTCACTCGGTTAACCCAGTTAGTAATAGCAGAGGGAGAACTCAGAACCTCAATTTAGTGCC